CTGCTCCCCCTCTTGAAAGCGTTATTTTCATCACTGGGCCAAGGGTTTCCTAATGAGGTCTATCATCTCATGTTAGTGACTCCAAGGCTTTTTGCTTATTCTTCCTTTCTTCATTGTAGTCATTACTAGTAAAGTCACCAGCCTTACTTCTCTCCTGGAATACAAAGGCTACCACAAAATGACCCCAGTTGACTTTTACTACTTTATCCCTCACCATTTCTCTAAATATTTTCTGTGGTCAAGTATGACTTCCTACTCTTTGAACATATCCCTGAACTTCCATTTTTTGGGGATGTTTTCATATTGGATTCTCACAGGTGCTCAAATCAGTCTATCAGCTGCAGTCTCCACTGTACATCCATCTGGTTCTTCCTGTTCTGACCCAGCCTACAGCTGCCTATACCTGTTGATTGGCCAGTTGCTTGGAAAAGTCCCATTGCAACTCCCACCATGAGAACACCATGCCCTTGCCAAGAGAACCCTTTGGAATAGTATCAACGTTTCCACTCCTTGGGCATTTAAATGGTGCTGAGGTTTTACAACATAGCAATCAAGGGAGGATCAGATTGCTTCCTTCAGACTTCTACCCACTTATACTTGGATTCCCCAATCTCATAAAATTACAAAATCTCAAACAGTCCCATCAACTTCGGCCTTTAAACTTCTGCATTGGTTTCCTGTGGCTGCCGTAACAAATAACCACAAACTTGGTGGCTTAAAACAATAGCAATGTACTCTTCTCACAGCTCTGGAGGTCAGAAGTCCAAAATCAAAGTGTATGCAGTGCCACACCCTTTCCAAGGGCCCTAGGGAACAATACATTCCTTGTCGCGTCCAGCTACCAGTGGCTCCAAATGTTCCTTGGCTTGTCGCCACATCGCATCGGATCCTCCTCTCCTATCTGTTTCCCTCCTCTGTGTTTCTCTTATACTAATAAGGGCAATTGTCATTAGGGTTAGAGACCATCTAAATAACCCAGAAGGATCTTATCCCAAGATCCCTAACTTTATTCCGCTATTAAAAGGCTCCACAAAGACTCCTTTTTCAAGTATGGTCACTTTCATGGGTTCTGATTACTTGAATATAGACATGTCTTTTTGGTGGCCACCATCAATTCATCAGAGGCCCTCTCTTTATTGGAGGCTCAAAAGGTTATCTGGAGTGGAAGAGAGACCACCCTACCCAGTGTCATAGCAACCGGCTCTGTTTTTCCCTTTTCTCCATGAAGAGGCCTCTGCAAACCAAAACGTCACCTTCCTTCTTCCAATTACCTAAAAAAGCTTCCTGTGTATATGAACTAAAACAAATTTTGATTTGTATGAGGGAAGGTAGAGGAGATAAAGAAGCAGAATCAAACCAGAGGGGAAGGCAAAGCCAAATTTTTGAATCAGAAAGTCAAAAATATGTGTCAAATATATAGAACAAGTTCATAACACAAAGAGAATTGATGGGAAAATTAATGTCCAAGAGGCTTAAAACTATGGCAGGATGAGTCATGGGATAGTCTGACTCATACAAAAATGTGTCCACAAGTAGAGACTGTACACTGGAATGCTTAGCACTTATTGTGGAGATGGTACACTATTCTAAAGATGTGTGTATTCATGGTCTGCATTGGAGATAAAAATTCCCTAACTAATAAGATAATGAGTTATAGACGAGCCTAAAGAAACAAATTTCCCACATAAGTGGTGTACAGGTATTTACATGCATATGTATGAGTAGGCAAATTACTAAAAACACATATGGAAATATTTTAAGAGAGCTTAAAATAATGTATAATTCAGCCCAGGTTGTATGTTTTATCATATCTCAAGCAACTTAGAACATATCTAACCCATAATTTATAAACTTCCCATTAGTATCTGGCATATAGCAGCATGAAGTATAAAAAGTACTTGATAAATCTTAATGAATTATTATAACATTTATCACCTCTGCCCCAAATGACTTGTGTATAAATCTAAAAAACCAACTAATCAACATATAAAAAATTCACTACCTATACTCTACATCAGAGGCAGTCCATAAAATTTTTAACTTCCTCAATTGTACCCTTGCCCCAGAAAACCTTTCTAGATTCTACCTTGATGATAAAACTCCTTGCTATTCAAGGTATAACCTGTGGACTACCAACACTGGCATGGCCTGAGAGGTAGTCAAACCTCCTACCCTAGACTTGGTAAACAGATGATATATATGCATATTACTCTTTCTAGTTTATTATTTATTAATGATCTCTCCTCTTACTCCCTTGAACTTAAGTTTGTCATTCCTTGTTTTTATTTTCACTTCAACCCAATGAAATATGTGACATTTTCTCAAAATAGTAAAATAGATTAAACTAATGAACAAAATAAACTGGTGAACAAAATAGATCCAGAGACATAGAAGCAAGGAACAGACTGTCAAACCTCAGGGAAGGAGGACAGTGAGAAAAGAACAGCCAACGAATATATATATATATCCCATGGACACAGACAATAGGGTGGTGAAGGCCTGGGGTGTGCGGGGGAGGGTCAAGGGCAGGCTAGAAGGGGTCCATCGGGGAAAGAAGGGAACGAGTATAATACTTTCAACAATAAAGATTTTTTAAATAGTAAAATATAAGTGGGGTATTATAAAGGTGATATTCCTCAAATAATATTCTCTAATGTTCATTTTATTTAGATCCCCCAATTATTGAAGGAAATATGGAAGCAGCAAGAGCAGTGGATTTAATCCCATGGATGGAATATGAGTTTCGTGTGGTAGCAACCAACACATTGGGGATAGGAGAGCCCAGTATACCGTCAAACAAAATTAGAACAGATGGTGCTGGTATGTAGAAGAAACTTTTTTAAAATTTAGAAGACTTATATATATATAATGCCACTTTAATATATAGTTGAATGTATTTGGAAATAAATCATGCTCTGAGGTAAGTGATTCATCTAAACTCTGTGTGTATATATATATGTATTTGAGACAAGTGTGTGCATTTTATATCAAGACCCTCAAAAACAAGAAAGGAAATATGAAGTTTAAGAATATTTTTACATAATTAACATAGGAGAAGAGGTAAATTGAAACTACTGCGTATGCCACTGGAGACCACTTAAGTGAAATTGGTATTTAGAATATAAACTTTAATATAAATTGTGAATATTAACCAGGCAGACTATTGATGTAAGATGATTTAGAAGGTTCCCAGTTCTATGTGTCACAGTTTTGTGTGTCCCTCAAACACATTTATAATTGAATAGCCACGTGTATGGATGGTGTGGGCAGGGAGGATAGGGTGAGCTAGGAGTGGGGAGAATGTGGTGAGGACTTCTCAGATCTATACCACTTGGAGAGTCACAGCATCTCCGAGAAACAGCTATAGTGTGTTGTTTGTTTTTAAATGTTAGGAGTCCCTCTAACTATGCTCTTTCATCACAGCTCAACCTTGGCTGTTCTTTCAATGGAGGTTCACATTTTTTTATGCTAAATACCAACTGCATGTAAGTAGGCTTCAGTACAAGAAGGATTCCACTCTATTTTCTTTTCCCCTGCATTACTGGGCAAAAATATTGTTCTGATTCTTATAATAGCTATTTTTCTATTATTCCCTGTCTCTGAAAAAGAAAATATTTTTAGGCTCTCTGAGTTTGCTTATTTTTACTATGCCTTGCCAACATTTTATTTTCAGTGTTTTATTTGGGAGATTTTAAGTGGATGACAGAGTACCATTAGATTTCTTCTTCGATATCTTAATATCACTTATACACATTTCTGGCTACCTCATTCCTTGACCTAACTTCTAAGTAGAATTAGTCTGTAATTTTTAAAACCAAATTAGTCACAGGATTTCCATTGATCTCTTAAAGTTTCATGCAACTTACCAAATAAAAAATGATGATGCTGTAATAAAGGAAGAAAACACTAGCATACTGATCTGCACTATTTTCACTCTTAAAAATGCATCCATTTATATGAGATGTTATTAGACTTCTAGCCCAAGCTTAGATTTAATCCTCAATTGTGAAACTAAATATAACTTCAATAATACTTTTCGTTGTTTTAAAATAAACAGGGTTGTTCCCTTTTCTCTACCTCTCAGAAATCTCTTTAGGATATAGAGGTAATATAAGGTGATGTTTTATAGAACACAGATACCACATAGCCAGGATACTTGTGTTTGGTTTATAGAGCTTCCTATGTTTGTAATAGAGGCTTCTGTTGCGATGGACTGAACACAGTTGCACTTTCTAAAAAAAAAAACAATGAAAAGAAACTGGGACATGATCTAACTGGAGGTTTCAACCATATAATTTCATGTCAAGAGATAATGCACTTAATTTGATTTAACAAGTATTCATTTCAAAATAAAACAGAAAAAATCAAACAATTAAGTTTGTCTAAGTAAATTTGTTTGATTTAAAAAATTATAACATATTTGCTTCAAATATACACATTTGATAAATCTCATTGAGCTTGATTTTTTCTTGTGATCTCTTTCCTAATATAATATAAACTATATTTCGTCTGAACACGTTTCTGAAGTACAAAACTGTCCATGGAAAAATGAAATCCTGGCATTTGTGACAACATGGGTGAATCTTGAGAATATCATGCTGAGTGAAACAAGTGAGGCAGAAAAAGTCAATAACCATATAATTTCACACATATATGGAATATAAAACTGAAAGCAAGAAACGAACAAACAAGAAAAACAAATAAAAACTCATACACAGACAACAGTATAATGGTTTCCAGAGGGGAGGGATAATCTATAATAATAAAAGCATAATATGCTAATTAGACCAGACAGCCGAACTACCGTCCAGACATCATTCCAGATGTGCTTCTGGACAAAGCCTCAGTGGCAGGGGCCAAGGCAGAGGCCGTTAGGGGCGATCAGGTAGGCAGGCGAGCAGTTAGGGGCAATCAGGCAGGCAGGCAAGCAGTTAGGGGCAATCAGGGATGCAGGCAGGGTGGTTAGAGGTGATCAGGCAGGCAGGTAGACAAGCAGTTAGGAGCCAGTGGTCCTGGATTGTGAGAGGGTGCAGGACAGGCTGTGCCCCCCCCCTCCTGTGCACAAATTTCATGCACCAGGCCTCTATAATAAAATAAAAGAGGCCTAATATATGGTGACAGAAGAAGATTTGCCTTTGGGTGGTGGGCACACAATACAATATACAGACCATGTACCATAGAAATGTACACCTGAAACCAATATTATCCTATTAACCAATGTCACCCCAATAAATTTAATAAAAAATAATAAAAAATAAAGAACATGTAATAAAATCAGTTAGTACTGTCTAGTGTATAATATTTATGTAATAAAATTTATTTATTATGCTGTTAGTGCCCCTTCTAAACTTTTATATGTTATAAAAATATTATCTACTCTGTAATTGATCACCTTGTGCAATATATTTCCATTTTTATAAGCATAATAGAGGATCATCTAATTTAATTTAATTTCTTATCACCTTAAGGGAATCATTTTGTATATTTAATATAATAACATTTAACTAACTTTCTCTTTACTTATTTTACTTTCATCCTGCTTCCAAAAAAATTGAATATGTGTAAAATTGGGCCCTTACATTTTTCATCCTTGCAAGAAAACAAAAATACTTTCTATAACAAGGGGATGTCTGTCTTGTCATGTACCATTATAGTAATCCTCCAGCATATGCAAGCAGATGTTATGTGTAATAAAGCCTGGTTCCCACTTGATGGAAAGGTCCATCCTGCCTCATTATGCTGATTGAAAGACGTGGCATTATCTAATGCAGCACATGTCCTTATCTGTCCAATTACTTAATGTTCAGATCACAGTGCACAGTTGGGTATATTCTTTGGATCCAGACAAGTGCACTGTAAAATGGATGGCCCCCAAATGAAGAATTAGAAGATGCATTTGTAATTCATTATAACCCACTTATTTTTGACTGTACGAAAGAGATAACAAAAGCTCCCTTCAAAGTAATGTGTCATTGCAAGATGTGTCCTCATAGCTAATAGATCTGCTGGTGCAGTTGGTGAGTTGATATTCTAAAACAGTGCATTCAGGTGTGGTTGACAGCTTTGGCATTTATTTACCAGATCAACCCCAGAAGGAAAAAAGCAAAAACCCTAATACCAAAATCAACACTTTCATACTATATACAGAGCTTTAATTTCACATTTAATGAAGCTATTATGTTATTTAATTTAATTTTTTTTTTAGATTTTTTAAGATATGTTTTGCCTTAGCTGGTTTGGCTCGCCTGTGGACTGAAGGGTCCCAGATTCAATTCCAGTCAAGGGCACATGGCCAGGTTGTGGGCTCCATCCCCAGTGTGGAGCGTGCCAGAGGCAGCCAAGCAATAATTCTCTCTCATCATTGATGTTCTCTCATCATTGATGTTTCTATCTCTCCCTCTCCCTTCCTCTCTGAAATCAATAAAGATATATTTTTTAAAAAAGATATGCTTGATAAAGGAGGGGAATGGTGATAAGAATATATTTTTTAGTTAAAAAGGTATATGTTAAAGTTAGTTACTGTCATCTATATCACAAAAGGCCTGTGATCCTGAAGCCCTAATGGTGTCACTACCAAATGAGCAAAGGCTCTTGTAGCAGGCGGGGTGGGGCATGAGATACTTACAGGGGAGTGCTGCTAGCCCCGTAGAGAGCTAAAAGTGGTGGAGGGTGGAATGGGAGCTACCAGCAGAGATGGGCGGGCAGCCAAATGAGGCAAGCAGAAGCGAGCTATTCGCGAACTATTTCGTACATGCTGGGTCTCTAGTTAATAATAAAATAGATTAAAAGAAGCAGTTCAGCCCAGACAGCATGGCTCAGTGGTTGAGTGTTGACCTATGAATCAGGAGGTCACAGTTTGATTCCCCATCAGGGCACATACCCAGGTTGTGGGCTCGATCCTCAGTAGGGGGCGTGCAGGAGGCAGCCTACCGATGATTCTCTCTCATCACTGATGTTTCTTTCTCTCCCTCTCCAATCAACTCTGAATATATATATACTAGTGGCCCGGTGCACAAAAATTTGTGCACTCGGGGGGGAAGGGAGGGGTCCCTCAGCCCGGCCTGTGCCCGCTCGCAGTCTGGGACCCCTTGGGGAATGACCACCTGCTGGCTTAGGCCCGCTTCCTGGGGAATTGGGCCTAAGCTGGCAATCAGACATCCTTCTGGCAGCCCAGGAGCCCTCGGGAGATGTCTACTTGCCAGCGGGGTGCAGGCCTAAACTGCAGTCTGACATCCTTAGTGCTGCTCAGGAGGCAGGAGAGGCGTCCACCCCCCCCCCTGTCCT